TCTTTTTATCTTTTTTTAAAAAAAATTCATTTTTATCCACTTTTAAAATTTGCCATAGATCCAAAATAACAGTTCAAATACGCAAATCATAATTTGTTTCTTTTTCACCCTTTTTTTTTAAATACTTATAAAAATAAATTTTACTTTTTATTTTTTTTTTAAAATTAAATTAAAATTTTATTATTTTTTTTTTTTTTATAATACTCAACCACCACAATATACCTTTGATGGATCATCTAAATCATTATACAACAATTCACAAATAAATAAATAAATACCAGATATCACAAAAGTACAAAAACACAAAGAAGCACGTTTTTAATAATGGAAGCTATATAGGTAGTTGCAGAAGTAACTTATATTTCAAATGGTGTGTTAAGAGCTAAGGTTTAAAGTATGGTACTTAGGTTCAAATGCTATCCGATAAATTAAAATTAAAAATTAAAAATAAAATAAAAATAAAAAAATTAAAAATTTAAAAATTAATAGTTTTCATTTTATAATGTAGATATAAGTATTTAAGCAAATAATAAAACTATCTATTTATTTATGTTTTGATAAATGGTTTATTTTCAAATTATTTAATTTTATTTTTTTATTTTTTTAAATTTTTATAATATTTCTATTTGTGGTTGAGTTGATTATTGCGTTATGCTTGTTTTAAAAATAAAATATTATATTTTAATTTGATACCAATGGATTCTAAATTTGAGCTTATAGAATTTTCTGATCTTTGAATTTTCTGAAAGTGTTTTTTAGTTGTCCAAACATTCTTTAAAATTTTCTACTGGCCAAAATTTTTGATATCGCAATTGCTTACTTTACAATCTTTCTTGAAGACTCTTCATAAATCAATCGGTTTGATGGTGTGTCTTTGCTAATGTTTGGGAATATATATGCACATTGAAAAGCTAAATATTTGACATTCTTCATTTAATCTTTTAAAATTGCTTCACTTTTGGTATAGTTTTCAATAATATAAGAGGGTTAAATAAAGATTCATGTTGTTTTAGTTTTTAACTAACACCTGATTTTAAAATCTTTTCTTATTATTGTTACATTTATTAGGCCAGTTAATCTTAAAATTGGCTCGGTTTCGGCAATATCAATTGTACCACGAGCTAAAAAATATCATTTTTTAATACCATTTAAACTATCTGTAATTTCCAATGCATACAATATTTTATTTTCATTTTGTGATTCTAATATCTTTAAATCTGAAACTAGTGGTCCAATAAAATCAATATCTAAAAACAAAATGAAAAATTAATTAATATTTATATTATTTTGTAAACAGTATGTTATGATATAAATATGTGTATAAACTTACTTTTTGATTCAGCAACTCTTAATTGATATGAAGAAGGTAATGCAAAATTTTTGTGATAACTATTACTTTCCAAAGAATCTAATGAAAAAACGGTATCCTTCTTTTCATTTGCTCTATTATCAGGATGAATATTATCTTATTTTATTTAGTAATTGGATAATTCTCTAGTGTGTAATAAATTTTTATTTTATTCTTTATTATTTGTTACTTTTAAACCTGTTTCATAGTTGAAATTTAAAAATTAAATTAATACTCTTTGTATTTGTATTTATATATAATAATAGTACATACTTGATGATTGAATAGAATCCAATTTTTCCACAGTGTCGAACATGATTTAATTTCACATCCAACTTTATATTATTATGGTTTGATTATAGAAAATAAAAACGAATGATAGTACCATTTGGTTTAAATTCCATTGAATAACCACTTATTTTCTAAGTAACTAATTATTGGTGATAAGTCTATGTGTGCAATAATTTAGTAATTGAATATTATTTTATTTTTAATTAGTATAACATTATATATAAAAAAATTTTAGAAATAGTATGTGTAATTTATTTACCTAAACTGATGTGTCTTTGTATTTCGCTTTATTTATTAATGAATGACATTATAATATTGTTATTTTATTTTTATTTATTTAGTTTATAATAATGTTTATGGTGGCACAGAGTTTTTTAAGAAAATAATGTTTATGGGGTGAAGAATTTTTTAAAGAAAAATAAAAAATTAAAAATAATTTGAATTTTTTTTTTTATATTTTTATTAAATTTATAATCATTTATTGAATTTACTTTTAAATAATAATTACTTTTATATATTCTACCAAAAAATTTTAAAAGAGGAATCAATCAATACAGGTTAATTATATTTGGTCAATTTAGCAGGTTTAGATTTCAAAAACATGGTATTCATTGAATAACAGTAACTTGCAACATATCACATACAGAGAATCAAAGTTAACTCGTTTTCTTAAAATAAAAATAATAATAAAAAGTTAATAATTTGGGTGATTTTTTATTTAAATATAAAATTCTTTTAATTTATTACTTACCATTATAGAAATACTATAATAATGTAAAAATGAAACCACTAAATATAATAGGTAAATTGAAATATATTTCATATTAACAAAATATGATTTAAACTTTAAATAACCTGAATAATAATATTGAAATCCAAGTTCAAGTTAAAAGATTCAATGACCTTAAAGTACATACCGGGGCAAGATTATTGAATGCATCTGAACAATTATTGGAAATAAAAAAAGTTGCAAAAAAAGAAATTTTTGAACTTAAATTAAAATTGAAAGATTCAGAATCTAAATTAGCATTATGATCATTGAAAAAAGAATAAATCTATGATATGGCCAAATCATGTAAAGGTTTTCAAAAGCTCCAATTCACAACAGCAATGAATCTTTTAAGAGTCAAGATGTTATAACCACTCCAATCATTACTCTACAAGTAATGGGTCAGAAAGGGCAGAACGTGAAGAGCAAGAGTTGGCAAATATACCATCCACAGCAACTCTTAGCTTAAGTAGTTATCCAAGTGTATCCTCTAATAGCCCACCTGTTTCATCATGAAATTGACCATTAAAAAAAGTAAAAGATAAAGAAACTTACTTTCTATTAGAGAAAATCCAGGGTATCATTTAATAAATAAATTTATAAAAAAGCTATTTAAATTTTATATGTTTATTTATTTAATTATATATTTATGAAATAATTTATTTTATTTTTTTAATTTAATTTAATTATTAAAACTATTAATTTTTAAAATGAATTAATCTACCTCATTTTCATTATAATAAAAAAAAACAGACAAAAGAAATAAAATTCTAATACTCAAACACAATAAAAATAATTTTGAATATATTACATTATGTTTTAGAAATAAATAAAATGATCTTTTTATTTTTTATTGCTATCACTGTTGCTATCTTCTTTACTACTGCTGCTGCTGCTGCTGCTGTCACTATCACTATCACTATCTCTTTCACTATATTTTTTAATTGATTTTATTTTTAATCATCTTTTCCTTTAAAATCATTTCCTCTTCTGAAAATTCTTTTTTCCTTGATAAATAAAGTATTACCTCTCTTACAATTCCATTTGACTTTAATATGTTGTTCATTATATAATATTGAACATTTACCTTCAAAGACGCTTAACAATACAAATTATATTTCCACTTAAATTTACAGATTCTGAAACACCAATATGATACTGGATTTGAAACACAACCACTTGATGAAAAAGCTCTGCAATAATAGTGTAACATATTACTTGAAATACAGGTTCTAAATCACTAGATTTACAAAATTAAATAGTTTGTGTTAGTATATTGTTTTTATTTTCTTCTATCTTTTTTTTTTTTATGATATTTTGCTAATTACTTACTTTAAGGTTTTATATATTATAAAAAAATTTTTATTGTTATTTTTGATGGGATTTATTATTTTTATTAAAACTATTTATGTGAATGTTTTCATTGATATTTGAAAAAAAATATTATAAATTTTAAAATATATATAAAAAATTATTTATTTGTATTTAAATTTTTAATTTAAAAATTTTCAAATTTTTTTTTAATTTTTAATAATAAAAAAAACATTGTTTAAAAATTAAAATACCATAAATTAAAAAAAAAAACTAAAAGATAGTTTATAAAAAGAATAAAAATTAATATATTTCCATGTAGTGGTTAAGGCATACTGAGAGATGCAGTATAGATTGTTAACCACTACGGGGGGTGCTTAGTTTAGGCATGGTAGGCTCTAATATAACTAACCTCCCCATGGTATCTTTTTTTTTTATAAAAACAAAGGCAAAAAGTATAAAATAAATAAATAAATAAATAAATGGTATTTATACCATTTCATTATCATTAAAAATTTATTATAAAATCCTAAAATCATTTTTTTTCTTTAATTTTTTGGGGATTATTTTTTTTTTTTTTAAAAGTTTAATTACACTTATTTATTTATTTTATTTTATTTTATTTTTTTGAGGTTTATTTACACCTATTTTTATTATTTTATTAAATTATTGAGTTGTTAATCTGACTGAATAGATTTTTAAATAATAATAAATAATAAATAAATTTTATTTGAAAATATTTCATTTAAAAAAATATTTATTTATTTGTATATTTTTAATTTTATAGAAGTTATATTATTATTAGTAAAGGGTGTATATTTATTTTGTCTGCAATATTGAATTGGATTCTTTTGTTAATTTGAGTTGAAATAAAAAAACAATCACCTGAACTATCCTCAAGATTATTTTAATCTAACTACTACACCATTGGTACAACTTTACTAACTGCATTTACAAAATTTGTCCATAGATCAATGACAATGTCGATATGTTGATAACCTGTATAGATATTATTTTTAAAATTGTAAATAAAAGAATTGATTTTAATTCTTGTTTAAATAGATTTGAAATTTCTTTTGTTTTATATCACATTTGGTTTTTTTGAAGTATTCATTCTTTTGATTTAATAAAAGTTGGGGGGTTCTATATATATATATTACTGGGCACTGTATTTTGCAGCATTTGTGTTACCTCTGATTATATGTTAAAAGTGTGGTATTTTAAAAAAGTTATTAGTAAGACTATTTAATTCAATCCTATGTAATGTGAAAGCTTTAATTTTTTTGTAATATTAAAATAATTAATATGAAATAATAAAAAT